ATGTGGTGATATTTTTGAATTGGCTGCGTTCGTATTATTACCTGGGTTGAATCTGTCGGTGCAAGTGTAATATCCCCCGTGACTGCAAGCCATCGTCGAGCCCCAACGGTCATTGACGACGACAGTGTCGCGAACCGGACTGTCGTTGTACAGCCATGCCAGGAACCCGGGAGAGTCCCAGTACGTGTACTGCGGTTCCCAGTCGCCGTCCGACCAAATAACTTCCGGCTGGTATGTTTCCACCTGCAATTACGACGAATATTATTTTTTTTCCGTTGCAGAACGAAATAGTTGCACAAGGTATTTACGAGCAATTAATCCCGTTTACGAATTAATTTTCCGTTCGGCAGCGCGCGCGGTTTAATTCTCTCTCTGTTTCGCTTCGGGGATTTCCTTCCTGAACATGAGGAAGAATATTCCGAATGGAATCAGGAAAAGAAGAAGAATTTATTCGACGAAATCATCAGTCGCAAGAAAAAAATGGATAAAGAAGCACTGTTTTCTATTTTTAGAGTTTCAGGATTGTGTACTTTGATTTCTGTCTTGCGAGGGAAATTTTCCACACGGCGTTCTCGGATGTATTCAGACGGAAAAACTGCGATAAAAATTAGCTTTTCATCCTTTTGCTGGGGTTTTATTCAATTCCCGTATTTGCGGAAAATGCGCTTCGAAGTTCGATGCTGTTGTGCAAATCCGCTGAGCGAATCCCTGCTGCTTCTTCGGGCGCAATTTAAAACAGTTCCTCGTCGTATGGATTCCAAGCTCATTTCTTTATATTGAATAAGTCTTTCAAGCCTCAATTTTCTTCTTGAATTTAACCTTTCGTTTTCCGAAACTACAGTATAGAAAACATTTTATCCAGCTTTATTCACGATATGTAGTATCAAAATGTCAAATAAATCGCGGATATTTCACAAATCGAACTGAGTGAAAACATGCAATCGTCGTGTAAATGTCTTTCCGGTGTTATTTTTTCTGAACTCGCTGTTGATATCTCCCAGATATGGATTTGCGCTATTTTTTATATTGAGAGGATGTAATGCCTTACCAAATACTTGAGTTCCGGTGTCATTTTGTTGACAACGAAGTCTCTCGTTGTCCATCCATTTGCCTTGTCCTTCTGGTACAAGGGATTGAACCATTCGTATAGCGAATAATAAAGGCCGAATTTCATGCCACGATGGGCTTTAATCGCCTTGGAGAGCTCACCTGTGAAACGAGATTAATGAATATTCATTAGAAAAACAAGGAAAACATTTCGCGTTGACAAACAGGATGTAAAATGTCAGTGATTGATGACGAGGACGTTCAATAAATGGTTGTGCTTCGTTCCGCGACGAGAACAAATTAATAAGCCTAACTTTTGATCGTTAGGATTTTATCGAATTGAAAGTATTATGTTATAAACGATGCGTTAAACTTCGTTTTTTTATTGTTGTTGCTTGATGAGTAAAACAATTGTTGTTGATGTTTCAATATTGATGGCTTACCGACAAGGTCTCTGTTTGGACCAACGTCAACGGAGTTCCAGTTGAAGGAATACGGCGATGGGAAGTTTGTGAACCCCTCGTGATGCTTGCTTGTCAAGACTATGTACCTGATTTGGGATCACAAGGTTTTTAAATGAGATTTTTGGAAAAATATTACGATTTGAGACTCATGAAAATTGATGAAATAATGATGTTTTGTGGCAAAAAAAAAAATCATAGTTACTTCGCGCCTGATGACTGGAAGAGTGTCGCCCATTCTGTTGCGTTGAAAAATTCTGCGGTGAATTGGGGAGCAAAGTCAGCGTAGGTAAAATTCGGCTTGTAGTTTTTGCTC